GACCAATAAACATATTAAAATATACTCAGTACAACTGATCATTAGGAAAATGCAAATCAAAACCACAATAAAACAGAATCCCATATTCATTCGGATGACTACTACCAAAATAAAAATAAAAACACAGAAAGTAATAGGTGTTGGCAAAGATGTGGGGCACACCATTATGCACTGCTGGTGGAAATGTAAAATGGTATAGCTGCTGTGGGTAACAGTATGGCAGTTCCTCAAAAACTCCAATGATTGACCATATGATCATGCAATTGCACTTGTGGGTATATGTTTATACAACAAACTGAGACCTGATACAGTGGTTCACATCTGTGATCCCAATACTTTGGGAGACCAAGGCAGGAGGATCACTTGAGGCCAGGAGTTCAAAACCATCCTGGGCAAAACAGTGAGACACCATCTCTACAATTTTTTTTTTTTTTTTTTTTGAGACAGAGTCTCGCTCTATCACCGAAGCTGGAGTGCCTCACTGTAACCTCCACCTCCCAGGTTCAAGCAATTATCTGCCTCAGCCTCCTGAGTAGCTGAGATTACAGGTGTCTGCCACCAAGCCCAGCTAATTTTTTTGTATTTTTAGTAGAGATGGGGTTTCACAATCTTGGCTAGGCTGGTCTTTAACTCCTGACCTTGTGTTCCACCAGCCTTGGCTTCCCAAAGTGCTGAGATTACAGGCGTGAGCCACCATGCGTAGCCAATAAATCTTTTTTAAAATTTTTTTTAAGAAGGCAGAACACAGAGCTGTTACTGTGACTTACAAGAATGTAAGAAATTCAGCTAATTAGCTCTAAGAAGAAAACTTTCAGTCTAAAGCTTTTGGCAAGAATACAGGCCAAAATTAAACTACAAAACAAGGAAACTATTCTCAGGACTTAAAACCTTGAACTGAAAAAAAAAAAAAAAAAAGAAGAATATTCATACAACATTATATTATATTGATATAAAAAGGAATGAAGTACTGATACGTGCTACAACATGAACATTTAAGTTAATCCCTTCAGAGTAAAGGTGAGGAGGAACCCAAATCATTAAGAGAAGAGTCAT